TATTCAATATTACAGCAAAAATATTTCAAAAAAAAATTATCTTTAATATCCTTGCACAGATTTTATATCACTAATAAATTATATTTTTAATTATATCATCTTTTATTGCTATATTAACAAATATTTATTGAGTAAAAACTCGGGGTTTAAAACCGGCTGAAAACGTCGACAAAACTTAAGATGCTGTTTAGTGGTAGGTGTTTAAATTGATCAAGATTCCTAAGGAAAAGGGCCTCTAAAGTGTTGAAACGCCGCTGTGCATGAGTTGGCCAAAGACTTAGCAGATGAGAGGCAATAATTCCGATATTACAACTGAACGTTATATTAAATAAAAAAAATGTGAATATATTTTTATGTATGCGTGAAAGGTTTTGTGCAGAAAAGTAGTTATATTTATAGCTACCAATTTTTAAGATTATTAAAGTAAGATATATTTCCCATACATACTATTAAAACTGATTGCCTGTAAAGTAAAATTATGATAGTCTTGTAGGCATTAAAAATAACTGTTCCTACAAACTATTCCTTTCTGCACTCTTGAGTTTACTTTATAAGCGACCTTTTCTATTACTTCAAGATCTTCAGGATCTTCGAAAAATGACATATTTATTTATGGAGATATATGTACTTCAAAACAGATTTTTTTAGGGACTATAAGATTTTTTTGTTTCATTAAAGCTCATTGAGCAGTATCTTTTGATCTTTTGATATGCTTGTATACTACATACCTATATGGTTCAAATTAACTACAATGTTTTCTTTACTGTGTTATAAACATATTGATGAACTTAATTCTAAAATATTCTAAAATAATACGAAATGTAAAAATGTGAGATTATAAAAGACCGTAAAAAGGAAATTGATGCAGGAAAGGAAGCCAATAAAAGATAATACGGAATAATACAGGCTAACAAGAAATAAGAAAACAGAGAGAACCTAATTTGTTTGTATTAAAAAAATCATTCTAGCATAAGCACAACAAATTAAGTATATTAATAAACATGAAGTGTAAATAGGAGAGTATATATTGTCTTTTTTATTGAAAGAAAATTTCAATTAAATGAAAGTAAGCTGATGGTACTCCACTTCTAAAAATCACAGAATACGAGCCATTAATGAATGTCAAGAATTAGAGATTTGAATTCATACGACATTTCATATAATCTGTAGGTGTTAGTGTCCTTTAATTAGTAAGACAAAGTTACTATATTTCTGAAAATCATGAAAAACAAGCAAGTTATAAATGTCAGGAACATAAGAGATATGAATTTAACCGATATTTCACACAATCTGTAGTGCTCAGTGCGTTTGAGTCATTGAATCACTGAAGTTCAGAGAAGCGTCTATAGTTAAAAAAACAATAACTTATCAAAGTTTATATTTATTTAGGTTGAGAAACCTAGCAATATTTTGGCATAAATTCGATGATCTTTAAAATCGCACTATGACTTTGCAAACAAGATACATTTCATATTTCTTACTGTTTTCATTGGTAGTATGCTAGTATTTTAGGTTTTGGTATTATGAAATGAATTTCTGCTGTCTCATTGGAAATTCTGCTATTTCTCTTGTTATTGCTAAATCCCTTGTGCTAAACTATCCAGACGATTTATGCAGACAATCGCTAATTGATTCGTTCTAGTTTACTATAAGATTGGATCAATACACTCAGATTCTGAGATGTGAGTGTATTTTAATTTCTCTACCAGTTTTGGGTGTAGAGTGTCCAATTCAGACCTACTATCTCTTCAATTTTGACAATATGCAGGTTTTAGGAATAGATATTTTATTCTATTTTTCCCATATTCTAGAATAGATGGCTTTGAAAATTCAATAATAAATTAATACTGATTGAGTACTTCGAAAAAAAAATCGTTGTTTTTTTTGTTTTATTTTTCAATTTCGTCAATTCAAATAATTGCTTCTAATTTCGTATACTTGTCTTACCTTGAACTTGCTATTAATAAGCGGTTTTTTTTTGCAAAAACAATTTAATTAAATTTTTTTCTTTATCAAATTGCGAAAGCTTTTAGTGATTGTATCTGTTCTTTGTTGTTATTTTTTTATACAGTTTTGCACTCAATTTAGTTCAAAGGCCTTAATAAATAAATTAGAATTATTGTAAATTATCTAGAATTGTGGTGTGGGTAGTAAAAATAAAATAGAATTAATATTTTTTTTTGTTGGATTCAGCTAGAAAACTAATTTGAATTTACTTGCTTATTACTTTTGTTAATTATATTTTATATACATGGTGTTCTAAGAATAAGTATGAGTAAGTATCGTTTTAAATATAATGACACCTAAACAAATTATATGTACTTTGTCCCCTAATAACATATTTTCATTAATTCTACCAGCAGCATTTATGTATAAATTTTTTATAATGAGCGACGATATACCACCAAGCAAATAGTATTGCGACTGATATGGTAGTATATTACCTATTGAGTTAGTCTATGGTAGTGAGATGGACTTATTGTCACTGAACTTAATCGGCAAAAAAGACTTCGATAAAATCTCGGAGTCTTCGACATCGACAATGCTGATGGTGAGAGAACTAGCAGCCTACAATAAAATGACAATAACTAACAATAATGTTGCTCAAATAAATATGCACCATACGAAACCTTCCTTGGCACTCACTATATAATAACACCTAGGTCTAAACTAGGTATAGTGCTGATCCAAGACCATGCGAAAAGCCCCTTGGCGTTCACTATACAATTACACTCAGGTCTAAACTGGGTATAATGTTGATCAAAGATCCTTGTATTTTCAGGGGTCAAATTCAAAGTTTGGCTGAAAAAATTTTGGCGCATACTATCGAAATCTATTAAATTCTCCTTGTGAATTCAGAGTACTTTTCTAAATCTAACTTCCTTAATAAATTAAAGAATTAAATCTGTCATATAGTTTTATTTCTTTATCCAAAAAGATATGCCCTCTTATGTATTTCCTTCCACTACGCATCAGTGCCGGAAAACCTCCTGCACATGTTTTTGAGGTCTCATACTTTTCCGCACAAAACCTGTAAGTTTCATTAGATTAGTACCCTGTTAAAATTTCTGTAATTATTTTTTAATTATTTTTACTTTAATCAATTTAGGTGGAAAAATCCTATAAATGATTTTGATAACCCTGGTAGATGATTCCACTATAACTTTTTTAGTTACATAAATATCATTTATAATTTCCTATACCAACAATAGTTTATTAGTATATTGACATAAATTTATAATTAAGAAAAATTAAATTTATTTCCTAACCCTAATACCCTAAAGCTTTGTACTTTGTACTCTGAACATTTTGTTATTGAGTGATTAAATAAACTTAGCTGTAGTTTATCCAAATGATGATGAGACGCTTCTATCAACGAGTCAAATTTAAATTAGTCATGTTGTGACGAAAGTCTGACAAACTTAAATAAAAACAAAATTTACATAAAAAGATACTCTCTACTATAGCAAATACTATACAAAATTTATTTAGAAAAATACACAAGCCAAGCGAATATTTTTGCTTTGTTGCTTTCTTCGTTTATCTTTTTTTGTTTAGACACTGAAAATTTTTATTTTGTTTTCTTGTGTTTCGCTGTTTGCTGGTTTCTTTGTTTATGCTTAGACGAAAAACGATAAAACGAAAATTCAACTCAAAAACAGTGTATCTGTCAGATACTTTTTGTATATGTTGATATTTTGAAACTGTGTCATGAGCGCAAAACAATTTCTACACAAACAGCGACAGAAAAATATACAGCTAGAAAATAATAACAACAAAAGCAACAACAATAGAATTAAATTTGGGAGAGCAATACACCTAGAAAGAAAGTATATCTGAACATGTAGAAGAGTTTTATGTACTTGTATACTATTTATGTATCTAAAACTGATCTTATAATGTGAAAATAAAATTACGCATATGAGATTGTGCGTTTGTTTTTGTTTACACTTTTCATCTGTTACGTTTTAGAGCATTATTTGTTTTGATTGTGTTTTTTATGCTGTATGTTTTCGAATTTGTAGATACTGTACTACATTTGGAACTCAAAGATACGGCAGTGGAATTTTGAAAATAATAGACTTGACATTCAACTTTGATATTTCAAGAAGAACGCAAGCAAATTGGAAATTACAAGTTAAGCTTGTAAAAAAATTTTAAAAAAAAAAAATGCAAAACTTTTCAAAACAGTTAAAAAGTAAAAGTGAAACATTTTAGTTGTCATAGACAAAATAAAAAGAAAAAAAATTAAAGCAGAGGTGTGAAATATACTTTAATTCATAAAAGTTTTCTACACAAAGTTAGTATATAAATTAAAAAATGTTGTGTATTTCATTTATGTACATATATACTAAAATATAATATATTGTTTTCATTTATACATATAGTTTTGATTTTTATTGTTTTATACATATATATATATAGGTATGCATTATTTATTATTTCATTTTGTTATTGTTTTTGTTGTATTTGCTTTAATAAAAGCAAATACAACAAAAATGTTTGTCTTTTCATATATTCAAGTTTGAAAAAAAAACTGTATAATCAGTTTTGAAAACAACAACAAAAACGATTATATATTTTTCTATTATATATAATTTGAAAACAAAAAAGGCTTGAAGCACAAAAGAAAATTAAATGTAAAAAAGTAAAATAAAACAAAAAAAACAAAACAAAACAAAAAAAAAAGCCAAAAAAAGACTACAAAAACCTAGCGTTGTGCGCACTGTATTTCAAAGATACAAATGCATTTGTGAGCTATACTAAAAACGAATAACACAATTTCAAGCCAAATAACAACAAACCATCGCCACGAACCAATATCAAAACGTACCAAACGCGCGCGCATTACATTTTAGATACAATTCAAGTAAGATTTTTTATAACAAATATAATTTTTTTTTTGTATAAAAATTTTCTTGATTTTAGATTTAGATTTTTTTATACATTTTTGGTTTTGAAACTTAAAGATATTTTTTTAGAATTCAGTTGGCAGCGTTGTGTCGACTTTGCAGTAACTACGTTGATTGTTTAGTGCGCGTTTGAGTAGAAATTTTTGTACGGTTTAAGAATTTCGCCAGAAATTATTATTTTCATAATTGACTGAAATTCATTGCAATTAAGAATTTCATAACAAGTGAAAAAGAAAATTATTAATTCATTAAATAAAGTTCACTTGCAAAGGCTTCTTCATCCATACGTTTATCCATACGCAAAAAGGTTAGAAGTTCTTTGAAGATACATTTTTTTTTCATATTAAAATTATCTTTTTTAATAAGTTATATGTGGGCTGATATAATATTATAAAAAAAAATATATAAAAAAAATTCCACAATAATAAACAATGCAATAAATGCATAAAGTGAAAAAATATGTGATAAACGTTATATAATAAATGAAAAAGTTAAAAAAAATAATATGAATTAACAAAAAAATAAATGGGGTCTATTAACTCCAGCAAATAAAAATTTTAAAAGATATTAAATAAAAAATATAAATATATAATGTATAATATATAATATAATAAAACAGTAAAATATATATTATTTATAATATAATGTATTCGTAATATAATATAATAATACAGTATAATATGTATTATTTATAATATAATGCATTCAATTATAAATTTTTTTATTTTAAAAGTATAAGTATGTTAAAAATTTTTATTATGAATAAAAGAAATAAAATAAAACAATTATAAAAAACTACATAAGTTAATAAAAAATTAAAAAAATTTTATAAAGAAACATAATAATTAATGGAAGCCACATCTCCAAAATAAAATTAAAATTTATTACACACAAAAAAAAATTGCTGTTACAAAAATGATCTAATACAAAACAAAAAAAATATATATATATTAATGTAAAATATATAATATAAAAAGATAGTATATTATACGTTATTTAAAATATAACGCATAATGCAATTATAAATTTATTTATTTTAAAAGTGTGGGTGTATAAAAAAATGTTTTAAAAATAAAAGAAATAAAATAAAATAATTAAAAAAACTAAACAAGTTAATCAAAAACTGGAAAAAGCTTTTATTAAGCAATAAAATAATAAATAAATAACAGCTGACACAAATTAAAATTAATAACATAAAACTAAATGGGTTTGAAAAACAAGTTCTTATATTGAAAACTTCATAATACTATATAAAATGTATAATACAATAATATATATTATATACAATAAAAAGTGATAAATTATAAATTTAATTAATTTAAAAGTGTGAGTATATTATAAAATTTTTATTTTGAATAAAAGAAATCAAATAAAATTATAACAAAAACTAAATAAGTTATTGAAAGAATTGAAAAAAATAATATAAAATAATAAAATAATAATAGATAACACAGCTCATAGATATTAAAATTAATTACATAAAACTTACTTGGTATTCAAAAATATTATAATATAAAAAATATAAATTTATATTTTCAATTTTTATAATTATTTATAAAATTATAATATAAAAATATAATGCATTACATATAATAATAATTAAGTAATTATATAATATTTATATGTTGAATATAATATACCATCTGTGTAATATAATTGAAAATATATTAATTAAATTTTCAAAATAAATTTGTATGCATAAAGATATGTATGAATAAAGAAAAAAGGATTAACTGAATAATAATAAATAATTTTGTTAATAAAGAAAAAAATAAAAATATAAATAACAATAAATAACAATAATATAAAACTTCTTTACTATAAGTTATAATTTTACTTGCATAATTTCAAATTTTTAAAAATTATTTTAATGTAAATGATAAATGTATATTTTAAAACCATAATTTAATTAATATTAAGATTACATAATATTACATAATAATATAAATAATTACTTTCACACTTTTTGATTCCCCAAAAAATAAACAAAATCCAATACTTTTAATATAATAAAATTATGACTTTTGATTATTAAAAAATATTTATTTTATTTTTCATAAATTACAATATTGATTGAGTCTTATAAATGAGATTTAATTGTTCAAATTTTTACTGTACAAAAATATAAAAATGTTTTGAATTAATTTAATTTCTTTCTTTTATTTTACAATAATATAAAAAATAATGGCTTTTAGTTAATTAAAAATTGATAATAAAATGAAAGAAAATCCACGAATAACAAATTTCGTATTAAACTAAAAATGTTAATATTAGCAACAATAATTGCAAAAATAAATTAAAATAAATGTTATAATAAAATAAATCTAAAATTAGTGATAATTTTAAAAATTATACAAATAATAATAAGTTTTATAATTCAATATAAAATTTTAATTTCATTTCAAAATTTTAATATACCTAAAATATATACAATAATAATAATTATATTTTGTAAAAATTAAAAAAATTATAATTAAAACTAAAAATATAAATTTGAAAATATGTAGTTATAATTAAAATTAATGAAAGTATATAATTAATTAAAGATCATTTTCAAGATGGATGTATATGAAAACTTATTTTATGGGATAATTTAATCAAATAATATATTAACAATAATAAAATCCGTAAAAGATTAAAAGCTCATCAAAAGCGATTTCAAAATCTTAGATTAAAGTATCTTTAAAATTATATCCAGTTATAGTTAGTATGGTCAATTCAGAAAAATGAAGATATATTACATTTTTGTTAGAATATATTTCTCAGCTTATAAAGCAAAATTTAATAATAATTTATTTAATAAAATTAAATTAAGTGAATAAAAATTTTATAAACTTCAATATTTAAGATATAATTAATTTTTTGTTTTATTTTGAAATGTAAATGTGAATCGTTAAACGAAATGAAAGAAAATGTCAATATATGTTGCTTAAGATAATTAAATTAATTTTCTAATTTTTCTTCAAACACATACATATGTCGATATATATGTGTGTTTGAATTTCGAAGAGCAATAGAATTTTCAAGGTCAAATATTTGCGTCAAACAATTTCCCAAAGTATATATTGCATAATCTTAAACAAAATAATTATAAACAAGTGTGTTTAAATATTTTTTTTCACAAGTGATTAATTGCAAATGGTAATTTGTATATTAGAAAAAAAGCAAATATCTATTAAAACAAGTGTCTGATAAAATAAGTATATTGATAATTAGTTGATCATTATTTGAATGATGATCATTGAATTATTAGTTGAATTATAAATTTTATTATTTAAATTAAAAAAACAAAAATAAAAAACAGAAAAACAAATAGATCTCTAAATTGAGAATCTGGTTTTAGTTGCAATATACGAATGCTTGCCCATAATTTTGCCATAATCACATTATCCTCAAGTCAAATCAGAGCCCAATTTTCATTATAATGTATATTGAGGAACACTTTAGAGCTATCGCCCAAAGAGTTACCCCATATAAATGTATAAAGTACTCACGTTGACATAAGTAGCGTAAAACATAGAATAAAAAACCAGTTGGATCTAGTAAGCAATGCTTTTTTGATGTACGAAAATAGTTTCTTATATATTTTATTTAATTTTTTTTAATAATATAAACAGTATACCTATTTGGATTAGTTATTTAAAATTGCCGTTTATTTTATTCGCCCAAATCTGCAAACAAATTCCAACAAAACAATTGCTTACAAAAAGTAAGTAAAACTGTGAAAACTGTGAAAAATTATAAATTAAATTAAGTATAATGTTTATTTTTTTTTGTCGAAAGTGCTGGTTCTTATGACGAAAAGAAACTATTTAAAAGTTAAAAGGGTTCGAATAGAAATGAAAAGACAACAACAAAAATTTAAGTTATTTCCTGAAATTCGGCAGATCACACAACGCTGAACACTGATGATGAGTACTTGGCAATATTCGATACAGCGTTGTATGGTCAGCCAAACTTTAAGAAATTCACTAAAATTTTTGTTATTCTCTTTTCACTTCTCTTTTAACCCTTGTAAATTAAATAAATATAATAAAATTTTATATTTTTGAAATTAATTTTTTTGTTAAAAGGTACAACGATGTGGTTACATCTTATGAGTATATTTCGTAACGGTATATTAAATATAGATACTTCTTTTCTACCCATTATTCTCTGCTACTGTTCAACTGTGTTTGGTAGCCGCTTTTGTCATTCTATTATATTGGATTTTTCTGCTTGTCTCTAGACTGATGTTACTCTAGTAATACGTTTTTTTCTTGTTTTAAATGTTATCTACTCATACCTAGTTTTAAGGGTCTTCTTCACGTTTGTCATTATTATGTATATGTGATAAAGAAAAAGTTTTTTAAAAGCCTTAAAGTGTCTGGTTATATTTTTTTAATATATCTATTAAAATCTAGTAAACGTATATAATACATTAAATACTATTTGTTAGCATTTTTTAATTCATTTACCCCATGTCTGTTTTCCAAGGCATTGAACAAAGTTCATTTTAAATATGTGAAAATAAAAAATAAAAAAAAAATTCCAATATAAAATTTGAAATTTTTTTTGAATTGAATTAATTGCAAAATAAATAATTTTTTTTTGAACTGCTCACGTCTAGCCACTAAGTCTACTCATTTTATCAGTTTCACAATAGTACGAAAAAATTGCCAATAATTTTGCTTTTAAACTAATAAAATAATAAAAACTAATGACTATTGATAAGAACAAATTAGAATTTTTATTGAAAAATAAAAAACAATTTAAAAAAAAATATGTGCTGCATTTTTAAAATTTAGAATTTAATGAATATTATACATTCAAATGAATGACACGTTTAGGTACGGAAACTTTAATGCATTAACAATAATTAATGAAAATTAATTAAATCTAACTAACGTCATTTTTAAATATAAAATTTTTTACATACATATAGTCATGCCTTCATATAGCGACGCTTATAGAAAGCGGAAGTCTATTGTTAAGTTGCCTAGATAAGAGTTTAAAAAATTTTTTTTTATAATATTATTGTTTATATTGGACTGTCAGACTGTCTTATCTATACGTCTACTTGATTCGTGAAGTTTTTTAAGATATTTTATAAATATTTTACTTTTATAAGTGCAACTACGAGTAATTAATAAAGATAATTAAGATAATTTCACTAAGAAAAGTTGTGGAGATATGTAGTATGTATTATATTGTTAATAGTATGTATTCTATTTAAAAAGTATCTGGTCTTAATATATAAATTAAAAAATTTAAAAATTAATAAAAATTAAAAAAATTTAAAATTAAAAAATTAAAAAAATTTTTTTT